ATATATATATATAGTTTATAAAAATTATAAAAATAAGATAGAACTTTTCTCATAAACTTTGGAATAATGCCATGTAGTGGTTAGCTATATCCATTAGTTAACTTATTAAGTGATAAGTAGGATAGAAGGCACGTTATCCCCTTGGCAAATGTAGGTATGTGCTTGTGTGGAACTCTGATGTTTGGCTTTTGGGAGTGATTAAATAACAATCGTGTATTAAAATCAGAAATAACTCCAATAATTGTTAGACTTCATGATTGAGCTTTTTCTTATGTATTTAATAGAAAAATAAAGGTATATTTACTAGGAGATAATGGGTTGAGCAGCTAACAGTTTCATTTTTCCTAGTAAGGGGTAGAAAATAGGAAACATAAGATGAAATACGTAAGAGGATTGATTATAATGGGAATATTTTGATATGAAGGGAAAAAACAATGCCTCCTCTTCCCCAGGTTTTTATGCCCTGGCCATGCATTAAGATACAGTGTAGGTGAGGGATATGCCTTTTTTGTATATAGTAGGGCAAGGACCCTGGTGAAAGAGGAGGTAGCATGTGCATGAATATGACGGCTGGCTCTCAGACAGATTAGTTTTAGGGAAGATTTCTTATAGATGTTGAGAATCTGGAAATGTATTCCCTTAAAACTCTCCTCAGAGTGATTTCCTTGCCTAGGTACCCCTTGGAAAGTCTTCACATACCCTTGGAAAGAATTCCTTGGAAAGTCTCTGTTCCATTTTAAAGACTGCTTGATATATTTGTAGGCAGACCCATACTTCACTGGCTCTGACTATACACGATTCTGGAATATCATTGCAAGTGTCCTAGGAAGAAGGAGGAAGATTGGGTATTTTGGGAATATAACAAGGTTAAGAGAGAAGTCAGAGAGGACGGCCCCAAGCTGGTGTAGTCACAGTGGTCCTGCTACCGTCCTCAGCTTTGTAGTTCTAGAAATGTGATTATGTCTGTCCACACAAAGGTGTTCATGTTTTATCACACTAAATCAAACTCACTGGAAAGTAATGTATAAAATGGAATGCCAGTGAATTAATGTATACTCAGAGCCACCAGGTAGACTGGATTCTCTCTCCTGTTGGGAAACCTATGTGGAAAGGTGAGCTGTAATCAGGATCTCACACAAGGAGTGAGGATCTTGGGCGTGGCTCTTGTCAAGCTGTGATAGCCTGACCGCAGGATGCCTGGCACATACCGGGAGCTCCATAATTGTGGGGTGAATGCACCTATCTCCTTCACAGACGCTAAAGGGGGCGGTTCAGGATTCTGGTAGGCCATCCCCCTATGTTTTTGATAAGGTCAGTTTTTCCTTGATCTTCTTAAACAGCTACATCATGTAGATGTTAAATCCAACAAAATTTTATGTCAGGGAATTATATAATTGCAACAATTAAGATTTATCTATCATTTCTGAGCCTAGAAATTGGGGCTGTTCATTTATTGGAGATTGGAGATTGCGTCCCCGTGCCCTGCAGTCATAATGGTGGTCGTGGCTGAGTGATCTGTGTTTTAGAATATTGCTTGATGGCTAAGAATGTCCTGCATAAAAAGAGCAACCTTGGGTGAGTCTCGGTGCTGGTACTTTGCTAGCCGTGGGACATCTTAACTAGGGGGGTGTCTGAGCCACTTGTTGCCTGGCCAGATTTTGAGAACTGTACTGTGGTGAGGAGCAACCACAGGATATTGAGGGGCAATATCCTAAATTGCCCCTACTCCCTATGTCCCCCTCAGGGGTAATTCTTGATACTGCTTTTAAAAATAGACAAAAGAGACAAGGCTTTTCAAATTCTAAAACCATCAGGAGGGGCTGCTAGTTAGCTCAGTTGGATAGAGCGCAGTGCTCATAACACCAAGATTGCTGGTTCGATTCCCACATGAGCCACTGAGCTGCGCCCTCCACAACTAGATTGAAACAGCTACTTGACTTGGAGCCTGATGGGTCCTGGAAAAACACACTGTTCCTCAATTTTAAAAAAAGGGTATGGTTAAAATAAATAAATAAAATCATCAGGAAGAAGATGGACAAATGAAAAATTTGGGTAAGTCCTATGTGGAAGTCAGAAGACACTTTGTCTCCTCAAAGTTTTTTTGCAGCTCTAGGTTAAGCAATTGAGACAGAGAAAAAGATCCACGCTGAGGAGTTTCATTAGTATTTTAATAATAATAATAAAAAAGACAATACAAAATCCAAACATTTCTTTTTACAAGTTAAGATACATTTTTCCCCCAAGTGCAAAATATTCTATGAACTGCATCACTTACTGTTTATTATTGATTGTGTAGGAGATGATTACTATATTGGCAGCAGTGGAAGGCAGATATAAATACAATATTTTGAGAATTATTCTGCATGAAAATAAAAAGCCTCCCACATGAGAATGATTATTCTCTGAAACTTCAGTTCGACTCACACAGAATAGTTTTCGGTTTGTCCATACTGCTAGTCTGTGTTGTCTAGATAAACTGATAACAGAACTGCGGATTCCCTCTAATCATGTATTTTCTTAAAGGGTTCCTAGTCCAAACACTGGCCCAAGGACAGGGTATGCCACCATTGAGACAGGTCGAATTTAAAGATATCCTTGTGTTGTTGGCTTCATTTTTTTCTTACTGTTCTTAAAAAAGCCAAGCAGATTAACATTGTTTTCTGCTTACAGTCATTATACTTTGTCTTCTTCCCCCTACTTTGAGCCTCTTATATTGAGGTTAAGCAGCAAATACAAAAGTCTGAATGCTTTACGTTTTCTGACATTTTGAGACATGACCTCCTAATCCACTCCAGTCACCTCAAACATGCATATGGAGAACATTTTTTGGGTATAAAGTTTCCTTAGGGCCAAAGACCAGAACTGTATTACTGAACTTTCAGCAATAAATCTGAGCCTCCACCACCTCAAACTAACCCAATCCTGAGGGAGTCAGAGCAGTCATAGCTCAACGTCAGCCTCTGAGGATTTATAGGCCTGGGGCTGGGCAGCTCTGGTCAGTTTTCTCCTGACTCTGAGAATTCTCTTGGGTTTGGGGAATGGGCCTGGCTTATCATACAGAAAGAGGGAGGCAGAGAAGTAAAAGAGATTGTGTGTTGCTGAGGATATAAGTGCCTTTCTGATATGTATCACTTGGTGCTCAGAGCTCTTGCAGAAATGGCTTCCCAATCCCAGACTCAGATCAGGGCAGGTTTTGTACTAGAATAAATGAAGCCTTACAGCACTGTGGCCCTGTCAACACCCGTCCTGCAGGGAGGCCTCTGGGCTGATTTCATGAAGGGTTCCCATTTATATCGTCTCTCCACTTCCCCACACTGGTAAAATCCTATTTTTCTGTCTGACCTGTATAAGGCCTAGAGAGTCCCTGAGTGTTGACTCCTCATTCAGTCCATTTAATCCCTAGTTTGATGCCCCAGGGAGGCTTCCTCTATAGGTTCAGCAGCAGCTTTGCCTGGGTTCTTAACCCCCAACTTGGACAACCTAAATCGAATTTGGTGGACATTAGCAGGCCTTCCACCTGCTCACCAAGATCCGTCCTGACATCAATGAAGACGCCTAGTGGTCTATACTTTCCATACTGTGGAAGTCACGTGCATGTCCCAGAAACCATGGAATAAGTGAATGGAAGAAATGTGTTTATGTGTGTATATGTAGGGGGTGACAGGAAAGGAAGAGAGCAAGGAGAAGCCAGACCCTGAAGGCATACATTGGGAAGCACTCCGACTGGCTAAGAGAGATGCAAAATGGTAGGGAGAGAGGAATCAGAAAGTTATCCTAGTTTCTGGTGGACAACAGGATGGTCAAAGTCAATTAAAGCAGTTTTCATGGAATTTCCTGGGAAGTGTGGATACTCCTACTAAATGACCATTTCCGTGCTTGGAAAGAGACATTTTGGGTCTTTATAGCAGCACCCCCTTTGACACAGAGAGACAAAGGCAGCCAGACACTCTACCCCATAAAGGCCATGGTGTTGGCTCATGGATGTCAGAGGATCTAGCTGTGACATTGGCTACCTGCTACCTAAGGCTGTTTTCACTGCTGAATGCTAATTGGGGAAAGGAGGGAGGTCAGGCTCCTTTATTTAGTGTTGAGTTTCCTGGGGGAGTTAATTGGTAGCCTTTGATTGAATAGGACTACAGCTTTGGGGGAACTAGACGGAGCAAATGGAAAATAATTTTATAGGCAGCAGTAGCTTGAAGGTGGAGTGCAGGATCTGGGCTTGGGCATGGACTTGATTCTTCATCCTTTTGAAAAGCAGTGCTTGAGGAAGCTAGGCTTGAAATCAATTCCCAGAGGGAATGGTGAACAGGTAGGGGTGGGCAGAACGGCCAGGGTCAGGCAGAACACTTCATGCCTGGCTAACTGTCCTATTCTTGGCTCCCCCAGCCTTGTCTCTGCCCTTAGGGCCCTGAGTTAGCCCATCCCCAGGGGGTTTGTCCTGGTCCTCTTCCATGTGCACAGCAGGGGAAAATACGATGAAAAGCAGGGGAAAGATGGAGGTTTTCCCTACTTGGGGTGGAGAATCACTGACCAGTTCCAATTCCATTGGCCTCTACAATCGTGAAGTCCATGCTGAGTCCATGGAGAGGCAAGGGATAGCAGGATTGGTTTAGCAAACACAGGTCCCTCTCCTTCCTGCTCCATAAAGTCCCCAGAATTACTGTCCTACACATCAGGTGCCTCTGAGCTACAGCCCTGGGTGACCCAAGCCAGGGGCTCTAGAGGTCTGGGGGGCCACTGGTGGGGAGTAGAGACAGATCAGATGCTCCTGCACTCAAAGTTCATGAGATTCAAAACCTTTTTTCTTCCACTCCAAACATATACTCTTCTCTTTTGGGCAGCTATAAATAGGGTTGTTCTAATAAAGGAGAAAGAAACAAACAAACAACAACAACAAAAAAAGAACAAAACCAGAAGACAAAAACCCCTCCCTCTAGACAACATAGAAAGACTCAAAATGATTGCACTTATTAGATGTGGACAGGGTGGGCAGAAGGCTTGCCAAGTGCACACACATTCCTCTTGCTGCCCACAGCCTGGGGCCAGAGGTAGGTGGCTTTGGGCTGGCTACCGAGCAGGGTCCTTTGGTGGAGCCCACAAGCCATCTGTGGCTACAAGGGAAAGACAGCTCTGGGGTAAGGCCCAGGCTGGCTTCCGCTCGGCAGCCATGTTTCTTTAAGCACAACACTTAGCACGGGGAGTAGGGCTCCCCCAGGGAGCACTCCGGTAGGGGTGAGAGGACGGCTGGGCCAGGGAAGACAAGAAAAGGGATGAGTGTTTGAGGCTGGCTTCCAACTGTTCTGTAGTCTAGTCCTTTAGATCATACGTTTTTGTTCCTTTTTTTTTCTTTCTTTCTTTCTTTCTTTCTCTTGGCGGTGCTTGGAAACCTGGTTTCTGTCCTGCAGAGCTCTAGTGTTTCTCTCCGGGAGTGACAGCAGTGCATTCAACATGGTAATACCTGCTGTGCTTCCGCAATCAGCGGTGTCCACGGGCCCAGTGCTGTGGGCCTTTTGTAAGCCCCTATGGATTGGACCCCAGGCAGATTGTGGGGGAAGAAGGAGAGGAACTGTATAGACAAGGAAGCCGTCTGTGTGGGCAGCCCAGGGCTCAAACCACGTGCCCCAGAGGACCAGTGCTGGCAGTAAGCCTGTAAGTCAAAGGCTTCTTTGGCAGAACCCTGGGCTATTAGAATCACCTGGGGGGCACAGCCAGGGGACATTTTGGCTCCTGACTAGCAAGGCACAACCCTATAATGGCAGAAGCCCCTCTTTCCCCTGCCCGTTCCCCACTAGACCCACTTCTTTTGGTGGGCCTCTAGCACCCGTCCAAGCTGATGGGGTCAGGGCTGTGAGCTGGTAGAATGGGCAGTGTGGCTGGGGAGGGGCGGGAAGGGGGGATACTGTTCTTTCACCCCTCGGGGGGAATAGAGCCAGCACTGAATGGCTTTTCCAGGGAGCTTGTAGGAAAAGGGAAAACAGGACAGAGGGAAAGACAGAGAGACAGAGAGGCAGAGAGGGACAAGGAAAGGCAGCTAGAGAGAAAGAAAGGGAGAGTTCTTGGTCTGTTATAGTGATATTTTTGTCTCCAAAGAGAGAGGAGAGAGTTCCTCGTCGGAGGATGGGGGCCGCTGGCTCTGAGGGCTAAGGCGTCTGGGGTCTTCAAAACCTGGGTCTTGGGCCTACGGGCACTATTTGTAGGGCCTCAGGAAGCTGGACACTTTGGAGCGCAGCAGCTTGATGAAGGACTTGGGCAGCATCTCCTTGTGCTTCTCCGTGTACTTGAAGTAGTTCTGAGGGTGGGCCAGCACCTCAAAGAAGGCCTTGATGAGCTTCTTGTCCTGCAGAGGGGGGTGGGTGGCAGTGTCAGCCTCAGCATTGGGGCTGACAGAGAGCAACCCCAGCTTCAGTTCAGCAGCAGCCCCTCTTGGTGTGGAACAGGCATACCCAGAGGGGAACCCCGGATTCCCACCCCCACCATCTGTTCCTCCTTTAGAACTCTACAGCTCAGGCCCCGGCCTCGGCACCACCCTTGCCTCCTCTCGTGTGCTCAAACCACAGCAAATCCTGTTGGTTCTACCTTCAAAATAGATCCAGGGTCTGACCACTTCTCGCTGTCTCCATAGCTACTGCTCCATCCAAGCCACCATCATCTCTCACTTGGACCATAGTAAGAGACTCCTGACTGGTCTCCATGCTGCTACCTGCCTACCCTGTGCTTCTAGACTGTTCTCCCCACAATAGCCAGTGACTTTTTCGGTTTTTAATTAGAGCCTGTCCTTTTGTCATTCAAAACACCTCTGTGGTTCTTTTCCCTCGGTAAAGCCAAGCGCCTTGCATGGCCCGTCCTGCTCTCTCTCTCCTCCATCCCCCCTTGCCTCTTCCTCACTCTGCTGAGCCACACTGGCCTTCTCAAGGTCAACGGGCCACAGCTTCGTGCCCCTTAGCTTGGAACGCTCCTGTCTTGATGATCGAATGGGTAGTCCTTTACCTCATTCGGGTCTCCTCTCCTCGGAGGCCTTTCCTGACCACTCTGTCTGAAATAGCAGCACGATGTGGGGGAGCCTTCTAGCGGCCAGGCCCTGCGCAATGGGACTCAGACCTCCTGGCTTCTAGGCTGGTGTTCTTTACATTGCATCAGTGGGTTTTTGAAATAAGAGGTGGGGTTTCCAGCCTCTCATCTCCACTTTAATCAAAACAGCTTTGCATTGGAGTTCCAGCACATTTAAAGTAAGAGTTCAGACCCTTTTAAAAATGTTTGAAAAGCACTGCTAAAAATACCATATTTTGCGTGTATAATGCACACTGTTTTTGCCCAAATTTGTGAGGGAAAAAGGATGTGCATTCATTATACATGGGTAGTACTAATTCCGTATCTATATAAATGTTTTTAATTCTTTTATTTATGCTTTGAGTTAAAAATGTAACTAGAAATCAGTAATGATACCTGTATGCAAAATAACACCCTGGAATACGATAATCGGCTTTGTTGAACTTATGACGAACTTGCAACGACGAAGAGTTCTTGGCCTTCTATGATGCATAAATATCGTAAATTTGTTACTGGTACATAAAATTTCTTGTACCAAGTATATCTGTCCTTGTGTTTTGTAATTATTTGTTACATAAAATTTCTTGTACCAGAGTATGTTAAAAAATAAATGCTAAAATTCCTTTATAATATGAAAAACAAGTACCTAAATGTAAGCAAATAATATTTTGAATTAAAAAATTGAAACGAAAAGATTTTTTTCCCTGAAAGTTTGGGCCAAAAACATGGGTGCACATTATACATGGCAAAATATAGTATATTCTTTGCAGCCTGCAAGTTGTAGGAGATTTATGTCATCATGTCTCTTAGCTTGATGACAATACAAAAATTATTAATCATAGAGATAAAACATTTTTTTGCAATAATTTATGAAGAATAATACTGTGATGGGGACTAATTTCTTCAGTAAGATTTTTTCAAACTGGGATCCACAGACCCAGGTGTCTAGTCCATTCTTCGATACTAAAAACATTTGGGGCTGGCCTAGTGGCTCAGTTGGTTAAGAGCTTGCTCAAGAGTGTGAGCTCTGAGCAACAGCGTCGCCGGTTTGATTACCACATGGGCCAGTGATGCTGCGCCTGAGCTGAACTGCCGCTGAGCTGCCAACAGGTGGCAGGATGGCTCAGCTGATGAGAGCACATGCTCCTAACAACAAGACTGCCTGTTCAAGGGGGTGGGCTATGCCCGCCTGCAACTAAGACTAAATTCGGCACCTTGAGCTGAGCTGCCACTCAGGTGGCTAAGTGGATAGAGCGTGCGCTCTTAACAAGGCTGCCAGTTCGAATCCCGCATGGGATGGTGGCTATGCCCACCCGCAACTAACTGAACACAGCACCTTGGGCTGAGCAGCACGACGGGACTTGGAGCTGAGCTTGCTGCGCCCTCCACAACTGAGATTGAAGGACGACAACTTGGCTGTTCCCCTCCCCCAACTCCCCAGTAAAAATCTCTTAAAAAACAAAACAAAAACAAAAACCATTTCATTTCCCTTAAGAGAGTCTATGCTGAATTAATAACTCTGAGAAACGCTGTGCTAATCTGCTTTTCTGCAGGAGCTGGGGGGCGGGGGGTAGGGAAGGAAGGGACTTACGCAAAAGCACCTTTCTACACCTCATTTCCCTGTGTGTTTGATGGAAGAGGTAGGGGACATTTCATCTCCTCATCTTCCCTTTCTCTTCCCCTAAGGTGTGGGTGACACTGCAGTCAGATGGGCTTAGGCTCAAATCCCACCTTCACCACCGGGCAGTTCTGTAATTGTCTGTGCCCCAGGTTTCTCATCTTTATACTGGGCATGATGAAAGTAGCTCCTTCATGGAGCTATTATGTGTGTTAAATGAGCATGCACATACACAATGTTGCACGTTCATTAAACGTTAGCTGTCGTTGTTGTGAATATTCACTTGCCTTTAAAATCTCCTGGTGGTTTTCAGAGGCATAGAGCCGGCCATCTCTCACAATGTCTTCCACCAGCTGCTCGTAGTCCTCTGCAAGGTCAACCAAGGGGAGGGCTTGGGGGTTGGGGCCTCTTCCGCTCCTCACGGCCTCCCAAGGCCCTGAGCCCGCCCCTGCTCACCCGCCGCCTGGGGTCTCCTGCCCTTGCTCACCGTCATAGGTGACATAGGGGATCTGGAAGCCACGGGCGCTGTTGGCCTCGCTTGTCTTGAAGTTGATCCAGAGCTTTCTGGAGCGGGCTGTGAATGCAATGGGGCGCTCGTAGGTCTGGCAGGTCTCGTAGGTGGTGATGGAGGATGGCGAGGCTGGGAAGGCAAGCAGCAGGTCAGGACAGCCATGGGCAGGCGACCCAAGCCCTCCTGTAGCGAGGGCTGTGGGGGTGATGGTGCTGACAGAGGCTCGCCCTCACCCCAGAACACACACACACACACACACACACACAGTCTTCCCCTGCCCTGGCTCGGTCCACAGCTCCTGTCTGACATTCAGGCACCCACAGAGTGTAAGAAATCTGACACTGACATGAATGGAGTGGCAAACATGCTAGACTGGTAAAGCGTCACCTGCAGCGCTACTGGAGTTCTAATCCAAGGGCCGCTTTCCCTAACTGCTCTCCAGGGAACATGGCGCCTTCACTGCCATTTTCCTTCGTTGGCGGCTGTCTGCCCAAGGCCTCCCTTGTCGCTGCCCCAATTCTTCCTGTTCTGATCTCTCTCTTTCCCACCCCCCCAACCACATTTGGGCTGCCCTTCCCTGGCCCAGCTCTGCAGCCACCCACAGTTCTTTCTCATGACGAGGACGTCCCCACACTCGTCCTCAGATGGCAGGAAGATCTCGGGCACCACGATGAGGATCTTGCGCTTGGGCGGGGGGTTGATATTCCAGACGCACTCCACTCCGGCCGGGTAGTTGCCTGGGTAGTTGGGGGACTCGATATAGCCAGTGAACTCACCCAGCTCCCCACCGCACTGGCGATCTGTAGCCAAGCGCCATGGACATGGCAAGAGAGAGAAGAGAAGTCAGTGGGGAAATGGGTTAGGCAGACTGGAGTTCTGAAGTGGAAATCAGACACATGGAGATAGCCGCCTTCCTAGCCCATCACCTCTTCTCCAAGTTCTGGGTGCACCCTCCTTCCTGCTCTTTTAGTGCCTTTTCATCTCACCTCACCTGCCTCTGCCCCGCCCCGTTAACCTGTCTTCAGGGAGAGGGTGAACAGGGCCCAGCCCAGAAACTAGTCTTGAGATGGAGTGGGTTGGGCAGAGATGGAGGGTGGGACTTTCCTGCCCATCCACATCCCAGCCCTGCTTCTTGTTGGTTTAATCCCCCCAACATGTTTCCTCCTGTGCCTCTTGCTCCCGGGCCGCTAACCCCTTTTCCACAGCCTGGCCTGCCACGTACTCTTGCACTGGGCCACGCTGGTGGAGCCATCAAAGTCAGTGCTCGTGTTTCCTGGACAGCGGGTGCAGAAGTTCTGGCGGAAGTCCGGCTGGTAGGACCCCATGGCACAGCGGATGCAGCGATGGGTACTGGTGTTGTAGTAGTGCCCAGGGGAGCACTGGACTGCAGACAAGTGGGAGGCGGGAGTTAAGATGGCGGGCACGGGGATGGGCGGGACACATGCACCCTGGAGAATCAGGAGGTAGAAGACACCAGGTTCCTTCCAGAGTGCCAACTTCTCCTAGTCAGGCCAGGGTTTAAGCCCAGGGAAAAACAAACTCGACAGAGTGGTTGGCAGTCCTTTTCTTTCAGGAACTGAACGCAGTGCCAAACCTGTCCAGAAACTCATTTGTAGTATCGAGGGGAAAGTGCCCCCAGCTCTCTGAAGCAGAGGGTAATTGGGACTACTGCTATTTATTCCCCAATTCCCATAAGGCTGTGGCTTATGGAGGGGCAGGATGGGTCCTGTGAGCAGGCTGGTGTGGTTGGTCAGGCAGCTGGGACCTTCCTAGTTTGGGGAAGATGGTGGGGCAACAAACTTGGGTCCACTCTGGGGATTTGGAGAGTTTTTTGGGGGAAGTAGTTGGGGTAGGAGAATCATCTCGCGGGGTGAGTAGCCCACTCACCTTTGGTGTCACAGTCTTGGAAGGAGATGGCCCCTTCATGCTTGGTGGTAAGGCCCCCACCACATGGGAAGCACAGAGTCCGTCCTGCTTCAGGTTGGTAGGTGCCACGTGGACATGGCTGGCAGGGCTTGAACCCATCTACAGAGTGTTGGCCAGGTGAGCACTGACCTGCAATGAACCAAGGGCCCAACTCTGATGGGGATGGTCCTGGCCATCCCTTTGGGGTCACCCAGTCTCAGGGGACAGAGGCACATAAACAGGATGTTGACTAGGAGAGTGGCCTGGAGCCTGGGCCTGCCCTTGGGAAATCCCATGCCCATGGGCGTCCCAGTGCCCACCCTACCCCACTCTGTATTGTTTGTTCCCCTGGCACCTGCACACGTGGTGACGTTGGTGGCTCCAAGAGGCCCGTGGGCATCACTCCCAGGGCAAAGGTCGCAGGAGAGCTGCCCTTCTCTCTCCTGGAAGGTGCCCGCTGGGCATGGCACACACTGCTCCGTCTGGCCGTGGTAATACGTTCCCTGCGGGCAGCTGACTGAGGGAGAGTCGGCCGCGCTAGCCACCCACCCCCCCTATTTCCCACCACCCAGGCCTGGTACTCCCCTTCCCACTCCCCCAGATTCAAGGAGAATCTCTGTGTCTAGAAACAGACAGAATCCTGTGTGGGAGAATCAGGGGCCAAAGCCATGTGCAGGACGACTGGCGGCCCCACCTGGTGTGCTTCTAGATTTCGGTCTGGGTCCGGGGAGGGGCGGATGTTGGGCAGGAGGGTTTTGGCTGCCTCACAATTTGAGAGATGCAGCTGAGGCCGTAAAGCATCCTGCTCTGAGCCAGGCCCGAGCTGGCCCTTCCCTACTCCCGTGCTCCCCTCTGTCCCAGCAAGCTGCCTTACCACACTTGGCCCCAGTGCGGTGCTGCCCAGGTCTACAGGCCTCCACCATCTCGGCGCGCTCCCCGGCGACTGGGCCCGGCTTGTGGGCCAGCTCATAATCAAGGCCAGCCAGGCGCAGGAGGAAGCGGTCCTGGTTAATGGACTTTCTAAGCATCTTCAGGGACCCTTTCAGCCGCCGTTCCATCCGCTGTCGGAGGCAGGGGAGCCCACAGCCAGCTGGTGGGGAATAGCGGTAGGAGTCACGGAAGGAAGAGAACGGAAAAGTGGCTATCAGCAGGGGGGCAATGGAGCCAAGGTAGGAGCTAGAAGTAAGAGGGACCGGCTCTGGGGCTTGGCATCAGGCAGGGTCTGCCCTTAATATAGGCTCGGCCCCTTCCTTTTGCCATTGAGACTTGGGTTTTCTCTACCTCTGCCCTCCCCTTTCCACCCTCCTTCCGACAGCGCCCCCAGTCCCACCTGTGGTTTCTTCAGCTCTGACCTCTGCCTCCAGTTCCAGGGTAAGCCGAGTGACCTCCTTGCCTGGAGGGGTCCGGGCCCGCCGGCCCTTGCCCTTCCGAGAGGAGTCACACTTGAGGTGGATGAAGGTGACCTGGCAGTCAGAGCAGGGGACACCACCTGGGGGAGAGGCCTTGTCAACTCCAAGTACACCCCCTGAGAACAGAGAAAGTTCTCACTCCTAGCTCTCACTTTTCCACCCCAAGCCGGACAGACCTCACCAGGTCTCTGACCGCAACTATCTCAGTTCTCTTTTAGTCTAGGATACTAATGAGTTGGTGTGAGAGTGTCCCAGGATTTCCTTGGGTCATGTGCCTGCAACTGCTTTTGCCCCTGCTCTTTCCAGAGTTCAGGGTGCCAGTGGGGTTTTGGAGATCATGCTAAGCAGAGGAGCTGAGAGGAGGGAAGGGTTTGGTGGCCAGACATCCCATTGGAGTGGGTCCCCAGTCCAGACCTGGCCCCAGGATTCTGCTGGCCTCCTCCATTTTGCCTTTGTTTCGCAGGTGCAAACGGCATTTGGCGTCCTTGATCTTGAAGGAGGCCCGCTGTTTAACGGACAGCACTGCAGCCTCTAGAGGGATGGGAGAAGCTCAGCACAGCCCAGGGGCCCCGTGGGGGTGAGGGCTGCTGTGGAGGGTGTTGAGAAGCTGGGCAATAAGCCAGGGACTTGGCTGGACAAGAGGGATTATGAAAGTCAAGGGAAGCAGATGTTAGTGGCAGAGGGAGCCAGGTGGCAGGGCTGGAGAAAAAGGGGGGTCCAGAAAAGAGCGAGGTCCGGGGGGGTTCATGAAGAAGAGAGATAGGGGTCAATGAGCAAGAGAGTGGGTGGGAAGAGGTCTCTGGGCTGGTGCTCACCATGGCAGTGGTTGGAGTTCGTGCCATTCCCGGTGTGGCCAGCTCGAGCTGGAGTGGCCCTGGGGCTGGGGGTGCCACAGCTCACGGTGAAGCCGTTTTCAGACTCTGAGAGAAGGGGGCTGTCACAGCTCTGACCTGCCCTCCACAACCCCCACAACCAGTTCATGACTCTAAGGGGAGCAGAGGAGCTGCCCGAACAGGCAGCCTTTCCTGCCCACCAGCCTTCCAGCAACCTCTTCCATGTACCTGGTGAAAACCGGGCGCGGGAGGGGCAGGTCAGGGCACAGGTGTCCTTCTTGCCAGACCGGTTGCAGCTGAGCATGGCTTTCGAGGCACCAGGACTGCTCTGACACTTTACTGGCTCTAGGAAGGGGAGAGAAGCCTGAGGAGGAGAAGGCCTTCCTCTCCCACCCTCTCCCTCAGCTGGGTAATTTGGAAGAAAAGAATTAGCTACAGGAAGAATTGTAATTGTACACAGAGACTGGTGAAAGGATGAAGGGATGACTTACAGGAAACTTCATGTTTCTAACTTACATGGCTACATTCTTCCCCCCTACTACCTCACACGCTCCTCAGTATAGAACTCCTTTCTTTTCAGGACACCCCCCCCAAAACTGCAGTGCCGGCGGTGGCCAGCAGAGGGCGATGCCCACCTGTGCAATCTTTGCCGTTCCAGTGGAGCCGGCCCTGGCCAGCTGGGCAGGTACACTGGTAGCTGCCAGGAGTATTGATGCAGCCGAAGCGGCAACCTCCCCGATTGATGCTGCACTCATCCACATCTGGGGGAAGAAGTGGGGAGACACAGACAAACGATGGTGGGTGAGAAGGAGCCAGGGAGTGGGCAGTGCGTGAGGACCTTGGGTTCAAGATGACTACTGGCCTGAGAAGAGCTCAAACCTACGACCTTCCCTTATCTCTGTCCACAGTCAAAAGAACGATTGAGAAGGGGCCAAGCTGATGAGTTTTTCAAAGCCTGCCCCGCTCCTAGCTACCAGTGGGGCTATAATTTGGGAGCTAAGGATGGGGGTCAAGGGGCAGCGATGGTGGTGGGAGATAAAAATTTTGGAGGCAGGACCGCTGTTCCCTGATACCTGATACCCAGTTGTCTTACTTCCTCCCATTTCATCACGATGGATGCGGCCATGGCACGTGTATCTGAGGACTGCCCAAAGCCTCGGGTCAACTCAGGGGTTTGTTCAATTGAAGGGTGAGGGGTTGAGAGGGGCCGGGTGGCTGAGGGTCCAAATTTGCTGGCTTACCCCCACAGTGGGTGACACCATATAGCAGATAGCCATGGTGGCAGAGGCACTGGAAGCTTCCCGGTGTGTTGACACATATGTGATCACAGGTTCGATCAAAGGAACACTCGTCTATATCTGGAAGAGCAAGAATTCAAGCCACTGAATCTGTCTTGGGGAACTTGATCCTGGGACCCCCTTGCTCAGCTGAAGGGCACAAGTGAGGGGCCTTGGCTCTCCCCCTTCAATTGAAAGCCCCCACTCATGGCCCAGCCCTAGGATCACCAATTCAGCAGTGCGTATCCCCTCCCTATACTCCTCCACTTGGAGTCCTCTGAGACAGGAACTGCGAGATCTGATGCCTGTGGATCAGGCAGGCCCACTACGCATATGTGTGGTTAGAAGGACCCTGCCAAGGATATGAATTGGGGTGAAATCCATCCCTCACTCCTTGCCACGCCGCCATGCGCCCCAGCGTAGAACTGGGCCGCCAAGAAGGCATACGTTTGCTCATTTGCAGAACGACATTGCTTATGGCAACTCCAGTTGTCTTGAGTTTCTCAGAGTCTGGCCTTCTTGAAGTTCTCCTGCCCCAAGCACCTCTCCAAGCCTTTTCCATTGGCCTCAGTCTGCTCACCCTGGCAGTTCCTCTCATTGATGAGAAGCTTATAGCCCTTCTTGCAGCTGCATTCAAAGCTGCCCACCGTGTTGCGGCAAATGTGGTCACAGCCCCCATTGTTCAGGCGGCACTCGTCTATGTCTGGTGAAGCAGGACAAAGGAGAGAAAATCGAAGGTAATGCAGAAGACGGAGGACAAATAAGGATACAAACTGGCTCCCTCACAGAGATGGGTAATCAAGGATAGCCCCGAGCCTGCGCCTTCGGACTCTCACTCTCCCGGCTCTGTTTCTTCCCTGTTCAGGGGACCTGTGCCATCAGTAACACCTTTCCTCAGGCTGAGTCCTCTTAGAAGGGGACATATGGGAACCAGTCAGGTCCTCGGGGGGGGAGGGGGGGTTGCCTAGAGCAGGAAGCAAGTGGGCATTTGACCTGCAGGGCTCTGCTGCTGATGGCCCTTCCCAAAAAGGCTGGTGGAGAAGGTTCATCCCTGTCCTGCTCCCCATCCCTGCCTGTCACAGGAGCCCAGGAGGGTGGGTGAGGAGGTGGCACAGAGAGGTGGAGATTCCAAGGGACAGCCCTTCCGAGAGGAGAAGCTGGGAGATGGGCCAGGCAGGGAGGACCTCCACAAGAGCCAGTGAGGCTGGGGAGCTGATGGGGGAGGGGTGTGGGCCAGGCAGGGGGCTGGACTGGGAGAGGTCTGGAGAGACTCAGGCCTGAGGCAGCTTTCAGCACTAGGAAGGGAAAGGGGGGCGGGGGTGAGCAGCTTCCTTCCTGAGGTCAAGTTCCCCAAGCTGGTGGCAGACAGGACCCAGGCTACTCACCCCTACTTGGGGGAGGGGACAGGGAGGGCAGCCTTCCACTTCACTCTTAGCATACCTGTCAACAGTCCTTCCCAGCAGGAAACCTCTCAACTCTGGCTGTCTGACCTGCTGCCCCAGCCCTCCCCCGTCCTCTCTGCCAGCTGTTGGGCCAAAAGACACAACGAATGAGCCCAGACCTCCTTCCAGTCCCTACTCCTTGTGACCAGGGAACACAGACCTGATGAATCATTTTCAGCATGGTTACCCTCCCGTCTCCTCCCCTCCCTCACTTTTCCCCTAGCCCTGGCTAATTAAAAGAGAGGAAATAGAATGGACTGTGTGGGAAATTATACCCTAATAAGAGCTAACACAAAGTGTTTATCATTTGTCAGGCACTGTTCTAAGTACTTTATAATTTATATATCACTCATTTAATCCTCACAGCATTTGGCAAGCACCACTGAGGTGACACTGAGGCACAGGGACACTAAGTAACTTGCCCAGAAACACAGAGCTAATAAGAGGTGGAGCTGGGATCTGAAGCCTGGTAGCCAGGCTCCAGCAACAGCACTCCCAGCTGCTACCTTATTCTGCCTCTGACCAGTATGATCTTTTCACAGGGAAGGTCTTGGGAATGTGGGTTAAGAAGGGAATGGAACACACTTGTGACCTCATGTACACACAGGGCTCAAATATCCTTCTAGGCTCAGAGACAAATGTAAATGGCATGTTCATTAGCCAAGAGGGTTAGGGACCCATAGGGGATAGGAATGAGAGTAGGGACAATAAGGTAGTATAGGGACAGGGGACCCTGAGGGACTGGCTGGACTTTTGCGCCCCTTGAACTGAGATGGGAAAGGTGGACAGGAGACAAGCCCGAGTTATGTCCTCAGTTCTGTATAAAGGGGATAGCCTCCAGGGGGTCCAGGAGGTGTGGTCCCATGCTAGGTACCCTGTCTCACAGTCCAGCCTCAGCCCCTGCCGCTTCTGCGCCTGTCCTCCGAAAGTCCTTACCTTTGCAGGTCTTCCTGTCTGGCTGCAGCATGAAGCCCACAGGGCAGCTGCAGTGGACGCCCGTGGCTGCATCGTGGCACTTACTGTCGCAGCCCCCGTTGTTGACAGCACAGGTCTCTGTTTAGGAGGGAGGCGGGGGATGGTAACCAGGTTATGGGCCTGGAGGAGTCCCAAACTGTAGGGCAGCCGAGAGCACAGAGGCCGAGAGCAAGGGAAGGCCTTCGCTGCCTCCCCGCACTTCAGAAGGAGCATCAGGCCGGGGCTCCCAGCCCCCATCCCCTCACAGTGCAGCCAAGCAGTCCACTTCCCTGCCCCCTACTTGATTGAAACAAGGTGGACAGCAGTGAGGCAGGTACAAGCCAGAGCTGTCAGGCAGGAATGTGCTGAGGGGGTGGAGGAGGTGGAGAGGGGAGGGCGCAGGGAGGGGTAGGAGTAATGGCTGCCAGGGAACAAGAAGGGACAGACAGGAGTTTCCTCCTCTTTCCACCAACCATCTCTGGTGGGTGGGGGATCATGGTGGGACAATCTCGGGTGGAGTGAGCCTGGTGATTCCTAAGACAGCTGAGGGATGCCCATCGATTCATCTTCCTCCCTGCCCAGCTTTCTGAAGAAAGATCCCGTTTCGAGGACTGACTGCTCGTCCTCAGAGGAGACAGCACATACTCAGTCATCTCCCAGCCCCTTCCAGGCTACCTCCAGCTCCTCCCAAGCCCTCCTGTCAGTATCAGATGGAGGTAAACTGGCCGTTCTGGTGCTTTACGTTCCTAATGGGGAGGTTGGTCTGGGGAGGGAAGAGAAGGAGAAGGGGCAAAAGAAGAAAGCTCAGAGCAGGAAGAGTGTAAGAACGTAGGTGAAAGAGAGAACCTCAGAGCTGTCTCTTCTGCTGTCCCCGCTCTTGACTGGTAAATGTTCCCTTCGCTGAGAGGTCAGAGTAGGGGGGTGTGGATAGGTCACTCAAGCTATTTTCTGAATTCAGAGCAGGAGAAAAACAGGTTTAAACTGCAGCTCAGGAGTGTCAGGTGAACTCAGGGAAAAGCCATCAGCTCAACTGGAGGAGGTAAGGGCCGTCTTCCAGGGGCCCTAGAGTTCTCCCATTAGACAAAATCCCAAGGCCTCCACTAGGGAAGAGAGGAGAGTTGTTCTTAGAATCAGGGGAACGGACTGAGACAGGTGTCACAGGGCACTATCATCTTGAATCTTTGATTCTGAAAATTCCAGCCCAACCCTTGTCACTGAGGAGACGAGCAAGGACCAAGAGCTCTGCCTCTGGGTCCCTGGTCACACGCCTGGGTCCCCAAATGGCCCGGTTTGGGAGCAGCCACAGTGGGCTCTCCTATGTGCCGTTCCCACTTCAGTCTCTCCTGAGGTTCCATCATGGAAGGCACCTGGGAGGGAACTTTGAGTGCAGGCTCCAAGCCCAGCCGTCTTCCTCCCCTCCCCTCCCCACGAACGTTCTTAGCATTCTAAGAAGAGGTCCGCCAAGCCCTGGAGCAGGGAGAGGGGAGCAGAGGTCTTGTGCCAAGTCTAGATAGATCCTAAGGGATCCAGGATGGTGGCAGCAGAGCTGGCACAGTGTCCATCCCAGCTTGAACAGAAAGCTGGGCATAGCTGCCACCCCTATAGGATAGCATTCTCCCGGGCAGAGTTGGGGTAGCAGGATGGCACGGCCTCAACCCTTTGTTCTTCAGGTCCCAGTATTAGGACTACAAGTTACTTTGTGCCAGGAGCTTCCTAGATGTTCTGTATCCACTATCTCAATCATCGCAGCTACCCTAAGGGAGGGTCATCTTCCCCATTTTACGGAAGAGGAAACTGAGGATCAGAGAGGACAGTAGCTTGCTTGAGGTCATACAGTTAGAAGGTGGCAGAGCCAGAATTCAAACTCAGGTCTGTCTGAACTCAAATGTCATGCTCTACACCATGATGGTGGGAGAGAATAGTGAGTGATGCTGGGACTGTGAGCTAATATGGGTAAGACGCCCCAAGGAGGGGATGGCATCTAACCCTACCCCACCCCTATCTCAGGTGGCACGGTGGACACGATGGGTAAGATGGAGCTGCCTGGGTCTTGAGCTGTGTAGAAGGCAGAGAGAGGGAGGGAGGCAGATGGCTGGGAAGAGGGGAGGTGTTAGAAGGTGGATGAGGGAGAAGGTGGAAGGAGCCAGTAGGAGAGGAGAGAGACAGGATCAGGGACAAAACCAACATGAAGGCTCCTGGGCCAGCTCTTGGGGACTCAGGAGACACTCAGTGGGCCCAGTACCCAGGCTGCCAGGGGAGCCCTGCTGGCAGGCTAGAGCCCAGTCAGGCTCCAGTGGGCATGCGGTTAGTGGGAGCCCCAGCGGGTTAGCCCTTCCCCTAGCAAGCCAGTGAGAGCAAGCGGAGAGAGCAGACATATTTACCATTAGAAACGGCCTGAGGGGGGATGTGCTGCTCTAGCCGCCTTTCCCCTGTTTGACATTGTAAAAAAGCTGTTTAGATGCTGGGCAGCAGCCACTGTGGCCCACCGTGCCCGGCCCTCTCCCCCGCCCCACCCGCCCTGCAGGCCCAAACCACTAGCCCCGCAGGACGAGCCCTGAGACTCCAAAACTTCACTCCCCAGCCTTGTCCTGCCTGGTAGCCTCAAAGAAGCTGGGTTCCTACCACGTGACTGATGGGAAACTGAGTATCAGAAAGGGGCCATCATGGGCCCAGTACCACACAGCATGCCAGAGGCAGAGCTGGGATCCAACCTCGAGTCTTATAAGCTGCCACCTCCCCCAGGGTGCCCGCCCTTTCTGCTCAACTGCAATGGCGCTCAGTCTCCCCACTAACTCTGAATATCCTGATGGCCCTGAACAATGAAGTTTCCTCCTACCAGGGCTGGGGAGGAACATGAGGTGCAGGGCAAGGTAAAATCAGTTCTGTGGGAGAAGAGGGAGAGGAACTCGGAAAGAACACAGCTGTGAGCCTTAGAACAGCCTCATGTGCTCTCTTCTACCTCACTTGGCCATGGCCGAGAAGGCAGAATGGGTCTTGCATTAGGGAAGAGCTCAAGCTTAATAGGGGTATTTTCAAAAGCAGCCATGCCCAGGATCATCTGAACAGAAAGAAACCTGAGAGGGGCCCGCGCCACATCCCCGGGCTTTTCCTTGGGGAATGCATGCAGCTTCTTTGGGGGGACTCTGGGGGATGTGTGAGTGTGTCCAGGGGATGGTGGGAGGTTTGGGAAGCAGAATTAGGTTTATAAGGGAGAAATGAAAGGAGCTGGGACAACCAGCCTAGAGAAGGCAACAGGAAGAAACCTAAGAACGTTCCAAGGTCTTTGAAGAGTTAGTTCAGAGGGAAACATGTAGCAGGTGAGATTTTAATTAGAGACCTTTAGAACCGTGTGTGCAAGTCTCTGGAGCAGGTCCCCAAGGGAGGCCTTTAAGAGCGTCACTGGCTGCCCTGTTCTTGTGTTTGGGAGAAAGACTGCTGTCAGCAGAGATGAAATGGGTCTCCGGAGTGAGTGGGGGAGAGTCTGGTTCTTAAGCTGAATGTCATGTCTCTGAGAGACACAGAGTGAGTGCATTCAGACCCTCCCCTCACCAGCATGATGTAGCCCAGGAGATGAATGGCCATCCGTAAATACTGCGCCCACAGAACAAGCGCGCCCCCTGCCTGGCTCAAGGCACAGCGGTCCCCGCTGCCCAAACTCTTCCCTTTCATCTCCCACTCCTCCAAGGGGGCGCCTGTCCCCTCATCTCGCGCTCAGCACGCTGTGAGCACACAGTAACTGGCCTTCGCGCAAGACCTAAAGACTTAGGGAATCAGGAATTAAACTCGTCTATGGTACCTGAAGATATGTGAGGTAAGGCGTAGGCATTCAGGAAAAGAGGAGCGAGAAGGAAATGGGGGGTGAGGGGGAGGAGGGTGGAAGGGGGATTTATAGGAGGACAGCGAGGAAAGAAAAGGATACAAAGGAGAAAAGATACCTGGAGTCAGGAAACCCCATTTGTCAGTTCAGGGCTGGTTGTTCCAGGAATGAGCACTCTATCCCACCCTTAGTTCCAGAGTGGGGACAGTGGGCTGTGCCAGTTCCCATCTTACCACACTAGTCAACCAGGGCCTCTGGTCAGGCTTAATCCTGCATTGCCCCAGCTCTCCTCCCCCTTGTCAACCACAGCCTTGGTCAACAAGCACCTCTGCTAATTATTCTCGGTTTGGCAACACTTTATCCTGGATAAAGAGGGTGGTGAGGCTCCCTGCAGTGGGGCAGTGGAACAAACGGGTGGGGGAGGAGGAGAGGGTCAGGTGAGCCCTTCAATCTCTCAGAGTTGCCCCTCACTAGACCTGGCATTGTTTGGGTCTTCAGTTCTCTCACTAGTCATTCTGTGCCCAGCACCGGGGCTCCATGTGCTCCCCGCCACCCCTGGTTCCCCAGGGCCCCTACCCCCTGTCCCCCTCACAGGTGAACTGAGTTCTCCACTGGCCTCACCCACCGATGCACGTCTTCCCGTCGGTATGGAGCACAAACTTGACATGGCAGCCGCACCGGGGACCCTGCTCTGTGTCATCGCACGTGTGCTGGCAGCCGCCGTTACCGTAGTTGCACGTCACTGTGCAGAGAGGGCAGGAGGCCTGTCAGCCTGCTTCTCCTGGGGTACCAGCGTTCTCCACCCGGCTCCCAGCCCTCTTACCTAGTTGCCTCGCCCATGCTCCCTTTTCCTGCCACCTCTTGCTTCTGAGGCCCCACACCCCTCCCTTGGTCTCCCTTGTCCCCACTGCCATCCTGGGTTTCTCACATTTACAGTCGCGCTGGTTCTTGGTGAGCTCAAAGCCCGGGCGGCATTCACAGGCGATGCCCCCTTTGGGCGTCTCCCGGCAGATGTGAGCACAGCCATGGTTCTTGTTCATGCAGTTCATTCCTTCTAAAAGGGAAGAGGAGCGGGGTGAAAACTCTCCTTCTGGGTGCCTAGAGGAAGAGGGACTAGAAGGGGCAGTTGGGGCCTAGGAAACAGAGAATTCCACCGAGGCCACCATACAGACCGGAGGGTGACTCTCCCCCCCACAGGCTCCCCGTGCTGCCCACAGAGCTGGGTGCGAATGAGCAGAGCTCAGGGCTGTTCTGAATGGCATACAGATATTGCTACTCAATGCCACATACCTGCACGGCCCCCTCTCCTTCAAACAACCAAAAGCTAGTGTCTGATAGTTGCCCAGTGCTGTGCTAGGTAGGTACTGAGAGGATTGAGGAAGGATAAAATATAAGATAACATATAAGACATGATTTCTTTCCTCAAAGAGTTTACCGTCAAACTGGGAGGAAGATAACGTAATGTGAACGGGGAGTAATTAGTACAGATAATTATCGTATGGTCTTATTTAACAAACATTTAGTAAGCTCCCACTACATGCGGGGCAGTGTATAAGGTCCTGGGGCTACAATGATGAATTATACATAGTCCCGGGCCTCAAAACTGTCACAGTCTAGGGGGAGGGAGCCACAGGAACAGACAGCACATACCCCACGATTCCCGCCTGACCTTCCCGGTCCAATCCAAGGAATAAGGCACTGGCGAGGCCCTCTCCGATAACAGCACTTAGAGCTCAGCTGTGTACGATTAATTAGGAATGACATCTGCCTCGGACCAGGACACAGAGGATGTCCCGTAGTAGCCTCAATCCCACACTGACTCCAACCCCAAATGAATTCTCCCAGATTTTGCCCTAAGACAAAGTGTCTATCCATGGAGCCCTTAGGATGTGATTGGACTGAGGGACGAGAGAAGAAGGAGCTAGTAGAGTTGAGAGTGGAGGCTGAGGCCTAGGGGATATTGAGGGAAAGCTTCCAAGCTGATGGAGAAAGGAGGCTGGGGGCGCAGGGCTGGGCCCTCCTAGGACATGGGCTGACCTTCTGGCCGCTGGATGCAGGTGTGCTGATTGTCGCTGAGGAAGAAGCCTTCCCGGCAGTGGCACTCATAGCTGCCCATCATGTTGACACAGCTCTGCTGACAGCCACCGTTGCCCTCGGCACACTCGTCCACATCTGTGCAGGATAGTGGTTGGTAAGGTTGTGGCATGCAGACCAAGGTCCAGGTTATGTCCTGAGACTTTAGCACCAAGGTCTGGGAGCAGTCCTAAGCATCCGGCACACATACCTCCCCCCCTCCCCCCAACCCAACGCCCAGCCTTAGGCCAGATGGTTCTCACTCACTGATCACCTCATGTTCTACTGCTTCTGAAGAAGCCACCCTAAGAGGGCAGAGCTGGAGAGCTAAGCAGGTGGGGAGGGGACATTAACATGGCTCACTCAGGTGAAGACTTGCCCCCTTTTCCCTAACCTATTGAAATTGGGTCTGAGGGCAGAGGGGATCAGGAAAGAAGACAGAGCAAGAGGGACATGGATGAAGGTAAGGATGGAGATTGGATGGTGAGAGGAGCTGGAGGCAGCTGGTTGTGATGAACAGCCAGGGAATCTAGAGAAGCTGAATAATGGCTCCGTGTACAGGAACAGCTGTGGCCATGGTGCTGAGGTCGGAGGGCAGGTGGAGAAAGGCAGCGAGTCTACTCCTTGCGGGGCAGGGACCATTTCTGTGGACAGGCCATGGCCCTGCCCTTCCTCCTCTCCCTCCATGCCTGGGCTTGCTGCCATAGTCCCTAGACTTTCTCCTATTTTGGTTTAACAAAACAAAGTCTGGTAGCTTGGGAGGGAGGGGTTGTGGGGGGAGCTGGCAGGTCATACCCTAATCACCACCCCAAATCAACACCCCCAGGTCCCAGAGCCAAGCTCATCCTGGAGCTCCCACTTGAGTGTTTCGACTCTGTCTCTGTGCTACCTACCGCCCTCTCATGTCCACAGCCCATCTCAGTTTTCCTTGGCTCAGGAGGCATGAGGGAGGGAGATTGGTCCCCAAATGGAGCAGCTAGTTCCTGAGGACTTCATCTGCCCTTCTTTTCCCATCCTCTCTGCTGATCCCCCAAACCCTGACCTTGCCCCTTCTGGCCAAGGGTCAAGGGGCTTGGACCCAGCAGGCCCCTGCCTGAGAAATGCACCTGTTAGGAAAGCTGAGAAGGTATCCCTTCCTTTGCCTCATTCCTGTCCCTCACCTCTGTCGCTACACTCCCGACTTCTCCCCATCCCTGTCTTCCCACTCTTGCCCCATCCTACCTTCTGTTCTTCTTTGTTCCCTTCTAGTCCAACCTTGTGACTTTGCTACTCTAGTAGCAAAAAGTTCTTTCTTCCAATGCTCAGTGGGAAAACTGAGGCTTACGTGGGACATGGATGACTTACTCAAGGTTCCCCTAAAAGCCAAAAGTAGGGTTGAGACTTTGAACCCTATTCATTCTCTTATCCTTCTTCTGGTTTTATAAGGAAACCAGACTTGATGAGAATCAGGGGCCTAGAGAGAGGTCAAAGGCAACCAAAGAACTCAGAAGCTGATGTTTGAAGTCCTGTAGGCAACTCACTGTCCTGGTCCTTCCCTGGTAGCTACAGTGGTAAGAGAGGTGGCCAGGGCTGCAGGTAAGGGCCCAGCAGGAATCGGGGTTTAGAGGCCTGGGTTAGGAGTGGAAACCTGTAAGCCTGGTCCAAGGATGGAATGTGACTGGGTTTAGAGGCAGCTCTGTGGTAAGAAGGCTCTCCTAGGCCAGTGGGACCTCAGGTAACTGGTCTGTGTGGTCAGGTGGAGGGTAGGAGAGCAGCCTAGCCTGCTCTTCTCGCTTCTCTTCCTTTCCTGGTCTTCTATTCTTCCAGTCTCCTATGTCTGTTTTGGCACCAGAGAGAAAGAATTTGGGGAAGGACGCCTGGGTTCACATCTCAAATCCTTTTCTACTATGGGCTTCAGTTTTTCTACTTGAGGAAACATCCGACATGGTCCCAGTAATTTTCCAAATGACAGAAACCAAAGTTGAGTTTAGTTCCCTCTCTGATCCAGTTCTCCTCTTTCTGATCCAGCTCCCAGGACAGAAAAGATCAGGTCAGACTGAGGTCCCAGAAGTGAGGAGCAGGAAGAGCTAGAAAACCAACCTTTAAGGGTCAAAGGTCCCCCGGGCACCGGAAAGCAGCAGCAGCATGGATGACATTCTTCCTGTTTATTGAGCACCCGCTATGTGCTAAGGATTGTACATGGCTCTTTGCACGTGTCCTCATGGTGATTCACCCAGAAGCCCTTTGAGTGGGACATTACCATCCCCACTTGAGAGATGAGGAAGCTGCGATTCCCAGAGATAGCTGATTTGCCCAAGGCCCCACAGATGCTGAGCAGCAGAGCCAGGGTCTGTCTGCAGCCAAATCACCTTCCCACCACGCTCCACCCCGTGGCTGAACCCACTGCTGTCATCTCCTGGTCTTTGCCCTGGGAGCATTTCTGGCAGCATCTCCTCTGATGTTTTTCATCCTCCAGCATGATTATCTCAGCCCTTAAAGGGGAGGCTGACCTTGTTCTCTGTTTTGTGGGAATGCAGCTCTTGGGTCACTTTCCACTCCTTGCCTGGGAAATGGGAAACGCTGAAAACAACTCTTTCCCCACAAGACCCCCCTCTCCCTTGCTCACCCAGGCAGTTGTGTCCGTCATGTGCCAGGTGGAATCCGTCATAGCAGGTACATCGGTAATTGCCAGGGATGTTGACACAGTCGTGCACACAACCTGCATTATCCTCTCGTTCGCACTCATCCACATCTGTGGGTAAAGGGGAGCTGAGGCAGCTGGACCCACCTGGGGGCCCCCCCCGCACTGTCCTCCCCAGAGCTCAGCCTTGTGGTGGTTTTAAGAAATACATCACTTCTCTGTGTGTGTGTGTGTGTGTGTGTGTGTGTGTGTGTGTGTGTGTTTAGTTACTTTCATAGCCTACAAGCCATTTCGCATTTCATCCAAACTTAAGTCATAAACATTTTCACGTTTCCACCCAGTCTTTCTAATTATAATACCACCATCCACGCTTGCAGACTATCCCATTGCGTTGCTATGTCATAATTTTTCTCTATTGTTAGATTCCTTCCATTTATTTCCCTGTCATAAATAATGCACCAGAGAACACCTTCTCCCATATATTACTTTGTTTCTTTGAATTTCCTTTGAGTAAGTTCCTAAGAGTAAAAGTTCCTGGGTCAAAGGATATATATATATATATATATATATATATATATATATATATATATATATATTTAAATGCCTTTTCGGATTCCTGCTAGCTATGACAAAATCACTTTTCAATTTATAACATCACCCGGAATTAACCAGTGTACCTTGTCCACTGAATTCTTATCAACGCTGAAGGTCATAAACTTAAAATAACATCTCAACACTGCTTTCGTTTGTTGCATTGCTTTAATTATGAGGGAAAGATGTGTTTGTTTACAGTATAAATTTCCCCTGGGATAAATGGTCTGTTATCATCCTTTGTGGGCATGGTGCAAGAGTCTAAAGATGGAGGTTCCAACGTCAGGGAACCTCAGGCCATCGTTCCATGATTCTGATCTCCCCACCCAGCCTGGTTTGTCTGGCTGTGAACTCTTCCAACCAGGGTCTCCCTCCGCTAACCTATACGGTGCCTTTGTGCAAATTAGAAAATGGCGTCCTCTCTGGGAAGAAAGAGTGCCACCCCCAACCTCCTTCCCCAAGCCAGCAGGGACTGCAGGCCTTAATGCAGCGCACAGTGTGGCCAACTGCGGGCAGTGGCAGGGCTTCTCCTCTCCGCAGCCCCCCTTCTCCAGATGCCCGCCCAGCCTCACCTTTGCAGTGTTTGCCATCTCCCGTGTAGCCAGACTTGCAGATGCACTTGTAGGACCGTGGGGTGTTCTGGCAGATAGCATCAATGTGGCAGTTGTCAGTCCCCTCCACACACTCATCCACATCTGGCAGGGGCAGAGGGAGTACATGAGACCCTCTGTTGGTGCCTCCCAAAGAGCGTCTTGAAGGCGGTTCCCCAGGGGCAAAATCCCCTCTCCTCTAAAGCAGAGACAGCGACCCCTCCAGAAGCAGGGGCCCGCCTCTGTAATTTCAGGAATTCAGAAAGTACCCCCCACTTCCCTCAAAAATACTTAATCCACAATGACAGCTAAAATTCCATCATTTGAAACACTCCTCTTTGATTTAAAAACAAACAAAAACCCTGAGCCTGGGTAGCACACTTAACTTGATTAGAAATATTCAACTTAATGTGAATTAGTTTACCTTTCTTAGGAGCAAGCTTAGAGGGAGGGGAAAAGAAAAGGCATGGGGGACCGTGGCCTCTGGGAAAGGGGCCACGGTCCAGTGGCCACCGGTAATTAAGGGAGGAAGGAAGGGAGATGGCCTCTGAGGAATCCTCATCTGCTTCACGGTTCTGCCTGAGACCAGGCCTGCTTCCACTTGCCCACCACGGCGCCAAAATCTTCACAGGAAAGAAGTTCCATCCTGGGAGATTTCCCTCAGCCTCTGTGCTGTCAACACCGGGGACCAGGAGCTGGCGGGGACTGGCACCAACAGCCTGCAGTCCGATAAGTGCAGCCCTTGGCTCTCCAGCTGACTCAGGCAGGCCCATCCACCCCACCACCCTGAGCTCTTCCATCTCACGTCAGGTGCTCCACTCTCTCCTGGCCCCCACTCTGACATGAGGTGCCTCTCTCCCAGCTGTGCAAAAAGGAAGAGGCCACCCAAGATCGAGCCAAAAGAGCATGGTTCAGAAGGGACAGAGGAACAAGAATCATTTATCGCCTTTGGGCAAAAGACTCCAACTTCTGGGGCAATGTTATGGTGCCCCTAAAGCTGAACTGAAATAGAGGGAAATGTTTCCTTCGGTTGAAAATGCTGTGTAAGGTGGTTGTGAAAGGCCGGGGAGGCTCAGAGGTGACCCAGCCCACCCAAAAGGAGACACAAGTAAGTAACACGAAGCAGGATGTGGCTGGATGCCACGAAGGCATTAGAGGTGAGCTGAAGGGGTCCTCGACCCTGGCTGCACGTCAGAGTCAACTCCCCCAAGAGATATCCGAGTGCCACCCCAAGGACGCTGGTCAACTAGTCTGGGCTGAGGCCTGTACACCAGCAGTTTTCTAAAGCTCTTCAGATGAGTCTAGGATGCAGCCAGGCTTGAGAATCTCTGCTAAAGGGAAGATCAGAGGAAGAAGAGACTATTTCTAGCTGTGAACTGGCAAACCCAAGATAGTGTATAAGTAGCAAACTGCAAGTAAAAGAAAGATTTGAAATCAAGACTAACTTCCAGGTGTGATCTGCGGAACGTGGAATTGCCTGGATTTTGTTAAAATGCAGATTCTCAGGCCTTATCCATGACTTATGGAATCCAAATCCTAAGGTACTTCATCTGTTTTTTACTGAATGAATGAGTGGACCAGTAATCATGCCAAAGTCTAGACACCCGTGAGTCCTGGCTTGAAACAGTTAACTGTCCTCTGCTTTCATATTTCAAGAAGTACTTTGAGAGGCAGGGCTGAGGAGACGTCCTGGGGCTAAGAAGAGAAGTAAAATTTGGAAGAGTGCCCCCAAACACCCTGCCTCCAATCTGTAGGCTTCTTTTCAGCTCTGCACTCTACCCTCCAGCTCTCTTGGACTCCTTTGCCGCAGTCCAGCAGTCTACTGTGGCCAGTGACTCTAATTGCATAATTCACACTTCTTCTGCAGCTCACTCAGGCCCTGCAGTCATGGTGTCTGCCTGCTGGCCCCCCCACCCCCGGGAAGTCATCCCAAAGTGAGAGAATGGAGAAGGGGGATCAGGGCAGATTAGTTCACAAGAGAGGCATGAGGACCCTCTGTAGAGAGGGAGAGGTTGTGTGGAGAATCACTCTGTCCAACTGATGAAGAGAAAATGGTACTAAGAAATGTACTATTGGGCCGGCCGAGCGGCGCGTTGGTTAACAGTTGGCTTGGGACACCAGCTCTGAGCAGCAGGGCCCCAGTTTGGATCCCACATATGACGGCCAGTGACGCTGCGCCCTCTACAGCTACCATGGCAAACAACAGCTCAACCTGGAGCTGGGCTGCCGTGAATTGCCTGCGACGGCGTAGGCTGCAGTGGGCTGGCGGGCAGCTGGCATGAGCTTTCGTGAGCCGCCGTGAGTGGCCGTCCAATGGCTGGCGAGCAACTGCCTCAGCCGGGAAGAGCGCAATGATAATACCAACATGGGCCAGTGAAGCAACGTCCTCCACAACTAGACTGAAGAACAAAAAGGACAGCAACTTGTCTGTTCCCCTTCCCCGATTCCCCAGTGCTGTTCCCTGCCCGCAATTCCCTAATAAAATCTTAAAAAGAAATGTACTATCATAAGAAGAGCCTCCACTCTTGAACCAGTCAGGCCCAGATCCAAGTCCAGCTGTACCACTCTTTAGGGAGGTTTTTCTGATTCTTTGACTTCTTTCTCCTTAAACTGGGGATGATGATACCTCTTCACGAGAGGCTGTGAACAGGCGTGAGACAATTTGTGTAAAGGACCTAATCGAGTGCCTGGTGGACAGTAGGTCCCCAATATATGGAAGCTTGAGATGGTAAGTATAAAATCACTGGTTCAGACAACAGATGCTCGGGGGCTATGCTGTGTAAGATGGCAGCCACTAGGCACATGTGGCTATTTCAATTTAATTTCAAATTCAGTTCCTCAGTTGCATCAGCCACAGGCCAAGTTCTAAATCGCCACATGTGGCCTAACGGCTACCACAGCGGACAGCGCAGATATGGGATAGTCTCAGCGTCACAGGAAGTCCTATGGGACGAAACTGCTCTAGGAGCTCTGGAAAAGGGGTACCCCTGGGCCTGGGTGGACCAAAGAAACTTCCCGAGGAGTGGGGTTCAAGTTGAGTTTTGGAGTCTGGATAAACACTAGACAGAAGAGGAAATACCAAGTGTGGTTAAATGTGCAAAGAAAGGCAAGGCACCTAGAGCTGGGCCTTATTCAGTGTCCCCACATTTAAACATGTTCTCCATGGTGGGGGAAAATATGTTTTAACAACGAATTCCAAACTTTGCATGGCTTTAGGCTTAGTCTTATATGCTCTTGTTGGATCTCTGGAGGAGGAGGGACTGGATGATGACCCCCCCCTTCCCTGCGGTAACCCTTGGGAGTCTCAGGGGCAGGCACGGAGCCCTGGACAATCCCAGTGACTCATAATCACCCTGTTCATCCTGCCTGGCGCTCTCCTCTGTGTCTCTCCATCCCTCCCCCAGCAGCCCGCAGGGTGACTGGGACTCATCTGCAAGCTCCTCTTCTGGGGCCATCTCAGAGGTACCCCCCGTCTCGGAACAGCTGGTGCTTCATTAGTGTCAGCATCGGGCTACCCTGGCTCCTAGCTCTTTCTTTTCTTTTTTTTTTTTTTAACCCAGACATCATAACAGGAGATAATCAACAAGTGTCATTTTGAGAGTTCACAAACTCTCATACAGGACTGTGATAGATAGAAAGGTACTTTTGAGAAGTCAGGGGCAGCATAGACACCGTTTGTAACTAATAAAGTGCCTGGCACAGTGAATGTGCTCAGTTATTATTTGCTGGATAAGTAGACGGGGTGCATGTTTTATTGGTTCCAAAGAGGATAAATGACACAATATACTGTCTTGGTCTTTTCATTTTATTTTGCAGGGTATAATCAGGTGAGTAAAATAAAAATAAATGTGATAGCAAATTGATTTGTAATACTGGCTTAGAAATCTAGGAGTTTCTGGGTCATAAAGTGATAGTTAAGGTTGAATATATATAATCTATATTAACTGCTCGTTTGTCCCTGAAAACTTGTCCGGGGCTCGCTGACATTAAAGAGAGCAAGAATTATGCACTGCAGCCTTCCTGGACACATAATTCATCTCTTTTTATANATCCTGCTACCTGTTGGCAGCTCAGTGGCTGCTCAGCTTGGGCTGGACTCGAACCGCTGTTGCTCAGAGCTCAAACTCTTAAGCGAGCTCTTAACCAACTGAGCCACTCGGCCGGCCCTCCTAGCTCTTTCTTTTGCTCCCAATTCAATGCTCACCAGTACTAAAGTGGATCCTGATGCTGACTGCAGCCGACCCAGGCTCCTGGCAGAGCCTTTAGGCCTTTCCAGCAACTGGGCTTTCAGCGCCATCATGTTTCTCTCCCTTATCTCCCTGGTCATAATGTTCATCCCTCTCCAGCAGTCTTTCTGCTCTGGGAGACTTTATCTTCCCCCTATTCCTTCTATAACCTCTACAACAACTAACCATTCCACCTCTTTCGACACGTTCACACACATTGCATTCGTCACATCTGAGATGCAGTCCTTTTCTCTTCTAGTCACACTGTGAACAGCTTCCCAAATCTGGCTCAAAACTGTCTTCCCCAAAGCTCTCCCTGGCAAGCCCTATTCCTGGTGGGTTCCTGGCCCCAGAGGGCTCGGTTTGCCTCGGCTCACTTACAGCTACTGCTGAGTTGCTCTGCTAAGGCTTTAAAGTCTTCTCGCGTGGCATGGCCCACCTTCCTCATTTGGCTGGTCACTCACTGTGGAAGGGACCCTTCGACTGTTTGGTTGGAAACTTTTGAAGCAGAGCAGGCCTAAAACAGGGCTCTGAAATAGGGCCCCAAATTACATCCAGCGTCTCCTCCTTTTGCCAGTTTGTTCTTTCAGACCTCCTTCGCACAATTGGTCCGTACAGGAATCCCACCAGCACCCACGGGCATGGCCTCATCTCAGCCTGTTCTCTCAGGGGGCAGGTGTTTATTGGCTGGCCTGACAAGCCAGCTGATGGTGCTGGGCATGGGTTGGCTTAGACCTGTGGTTCTCAACACTGGCTGCACGCTGGGACTCCCTGGGGACCTTTCAGAAGTGTGACCGTCCAGGCACTTTCCTCAGCCGGTTGCATGAGGACCTCTAGGATAAGGCTGGGCTGCTGTCTGTTTTCCTTTTCCCAGTTCAG